ACGATCCGAAATGTATCTCAAAAAGTGTGTTTTTAATATCATTTTGATATATTTGATCTGAAAAAGTATCAATGGATATTTTTTAATATCAAAATCAATTGATAACTATACACATCGAAGAGATAGAAAAACCTTTTGAAAATCAAATATATGATTTTTAGAAGATAATAATGAGGTGACTTTTCATTTCACCAACGAGAAACCAAAAAAAAGAGTTGTGTAGATCCCACAACAATGTGTTAATTTCAAGTGGATCGATCTGTTTCACTGTGTAGTTCCCATCCGGGCAATTTGAATAAATGCGAACATTTTTGAATTGCAGCTCAATTTTTTGTCTGCGCATCCTAGAACCTCCTCCCCCGACCCAGCAATTTGCCATCTCTATTTGTCTATTTGTCTTTTTGTCTATTTGTCTTTCCTCGTCTGGCACAAAATGTATTTTTGTTTCAAGAGTTTTCGTGGATCGCGGTCTTCTTTATTTCACTATGTTGGCCGCATCTCCCATTGTGTCTGTTGTGCAGTCTTCTGTAAATTATTTATACAGAATTATGCGCAGCATATTTGATCACGGCTAATTGCAGAGAATCGCCAGCAATTTGGCCATTAATTATCAACTTTGTGGGGGTTTCTGAGGAAAATATTAGACAACCCAAGCTATAAAGAGTTATAAATCGAATTAGATAGGCATACAAATTGATTTACAAAATTCAGAGGCGATAAGATATAATTTAATTGAATACAAAAAATAAAACAATTGATACACCTTAATAACTTTTTAACAAACTAACTTATATATATAGAGAATGAAAATAATGACTTGTTATCCCTTTTGAATATCTCAAAACAAAAGTATTGACTCCAAAATTCTTTACATTTCCTTTAAATACAACATCATAAATCCAAGATAATCCTAACCAAAATAAGTTCACCACTTTCCCTTGAATTATTGACGTTTTTACCCGGTCCTATCATATTTCGCACCCGCACCTCAGATTCTTCGACGCTGTCAGTCCGATTTGCGCGTAGATGGTCCGACCAACTATTGTTTTGGGTTTGTCCTTCAAATTCGAGATTTATTTTATTTTCAACCGAAGAAAACTGATGCGCATGACAGCAAAAACAATCACAAGAAAAAAGAACCACATTAGACCCCGCAAATATTTTTGCGTAAACATTGAAAACAATGGCAGGGAAAAATGAAAATCTAAATGGGAATACTTAAGTTTTCTAGCTAAGACCCATGCTAGCCAAATACCTTGGCAAGGCGACAGCAATGAGCACACACATGATTTTTAGATTAAGTAACCAAGACAGGGGCTTTTATAAGAAAACATAGCACACAACTAAACAGAAAGATCATCGGAATTAAGGAATTCTGGCTGATATTACTTTATGTTATAACTGAGGAGTATATACTACAATAATCCATTGATGGTAATTAGTCTAACAAGATTAATACAATAATGTTAATTCTAAAAAACTCCTCAATTTTGTGGATGTTAGTCTGAAAATCCACATTTTGATCCACATTCCTTTAATTTCATTAGTAACATATTTCGTTGTATTAATTTCCTATAGAAATAACATCACCGCAATTAATTCAGATTTTCATCTATTATATTTATCGCAATTTGTATTCATTGCCACTTAAATATAAATAAGTAGTCATAGTTCACCTATCAGTAATTACACAGGTACCTTTTAGATCCCATTTAGAAAGTGAATCAGGTAGAGTATCAGAAAAGCAAACACTACTCAAATTTAGTTGGCAGCATTGCAAGACAAGTGCACCTACGCCTAAGAATAGGCGCATGATGCACTTACCACAAAAACCAAACAATAGAATAGATGGGAGGGGAGGGGGGAGAAGGAACTTCTCGGCAAATAGTTTGGCATGTAAACCCAAGCTATTTGTGACAAGTTCGATGTCTTTATCATGCGTAAAAATACACAGAAATTCGCGAATGCAGCGGCCAGCGAAACAATGAAACATTTTTGACAATGCCATAGCACCTGAGTGGTTGAGTGGTTGAGTGCCCAACCTCTCGACTGCTGAGTGGTGCGAAAAATGCAAATTGTGGGTCAGACATTGGGGCCAAAAATAGAGCCAGCAAAGCGAAACATCAGAGGGTCATTGAGAGGTAAACCGTTGCTTTCTGGGAGGGGGGGCTACTACTACCTCTTGATATCAATACTATTGGATAGTATTACCATGTTCTAATGTCAATTATCCAATCTGCAGCAAGCAGACCTCGATCGAGATCGAGCAGCTCAATGCCCGCGTCATCGAGGCGGAGACCCGGCTGAAGACCGAGGTGACCCGCATCAAGAAGAAGCTGCAGATCCAGATCACCGAACTGGAGATGTCCCTGGATGTGGCCAACAAGACCAACATCGACCTGCAGAAGGTGATCAAGAAGCAGTCGCTGCAGCTGACCGAACTGCAGGCCCACTACGAGGATGTGCAGCGCCAGCTGCAGGCCACCCTCGACCAGTATGCCGTCGCCCAGCGCCGTCTGGCCGGTCTGAATGGCGAGCTGGAGGAGGTCCGCTCCCACCTGGACAGCGCCAACCGGGCCAAGCGCACCGTTGAGCTGCAGTACGAGGAGGCCGCCTCCCGCATCAACGAGCTGACCACCGTCAACGTCAACCTCGTCTCCATCAAGTCCAAGCTGGAGCAGGAGCTCACCGTGGTGGCCTCCGACTACGAGGAGGTGTCCAAGGAGCTGCGCATCAGCGACGAGCGCTACCAGAAGGTGTCCGTGGAGCTCAAGCACGTCGTCGAGCAGGTGCACGAGGAGCAGGAGCGCATCGTTAAGCTGGAGACCATCAAGAAGTCCTTGGAAGTCGAAGTCAAGGTGGGTGATTCTCTTCAAAGTGTTTTACTTGATTGAAAGGGGTTAACTGCATTATAATCGGGGGGGTCCCAGAAATCTCAATCTATTTAAAAGGCGATCTAAAATACTCAAATATCACAGAACAGTTTATCAGTTGTCTAAACTCTTTTCATCAAGCGTTCTATACGTCTTAGTTTAATATTCTATGACTCTTCAATTTGATTACAATCCAAACATAATCTATCAGAAATATCTTATTCTGGTAGATTATGTTCGGAAGATTAAGATTCATTCAGAAGAAAATTAAACCCATGTTCTTGTCTTAAAAAAGAAAACCCACCGTAACCTTTCAATGAAGACGAGAAAATAGATCTTTAAGGTGAAGAAGTTTTAGGGTCAGCGAGATTATTAGTTGCAATTGAACTGAAATAGATTTCTGTGACTCCCGCGTATATAAACCCGTTTTCCAAGCTAATGACTCCCACTAATCCGTTATGCCTCCCCAGAACTTGTCCATCCGCTTGGAGGAGGTCGAGCTGAACGCCGTCGCCGGCAGCAAGCGCATCATCAGCAAGCTGGAGGCCCGCATCCGGGATCTGGAGCTGGAGCTGGAGGAGGAGAAGCGCCGCCACGCCGAGACCATCAAGATCCTGCGCAAGAAGGAGCGCACCGTCAAGGAGGTGATAGTGCAGTGCGAGGAGGACCAGAAGAACCTCATCCTGCTGCAGGATGCGCTGGACAAGTCCACTGCCAAGATCAACATCTACCGCCGCCAGCTGTCCGAGCAGGAGGGTGTTTCCCAGCAGACCACCACCCGGGTGCGCCGCTTCCAGCGGGAGCTGGAGGCTGCCGAGGATCGCGCCGATACGGCCGAGTCCAGCCTGAACATCATCCGCGCCAAGCACCGCACATTCGTGACCACCTCGACGGTGCCCGGATCCCAGGTGTACATCCAGGAGACCACAAGGACGATCACCGAATAGAGCGACGCCACGCCACGCACCGCGATCATTTCATTATCAAACCGAGCGAGCCGATCAAGATCCGGCGGAGAGTTCAGAGGTCAGAGTTCAGAGTGCAGAGTGCAGACAGCAAGAAGAGGAACAGGAGAACGAGAATTGCGTGAGAAAGTTTTTATAATTTAAATTTTTTTGTCACCCCAACGCCGTGGCAGCGACCAACATCCCAGTGGACTTCGGCGGGGGCTCGTATAGGCTACACACTATAAATACATAACACTACACATCCTATCTATATAATAATAATACTATTTTGAAGTTCATGTAATTTAATTAAAATAATGAACCTGAAAACCTAAAAACAAAATAAAAACAAATCAACGAAAACTTGGCAGAGTTTTGCTAGCGATAGAGATATATATACCACATACGATATAATGTACGTAGAGATGAGAGACGGAGAGTTGGCTGAACAATAACGTTTGATGGAGACCATTTGACAAATAACCAAAAAATAAAAGAAAGAAAACACGAAATGGAAATGATAATCGTCACCAAAGATCCCACTAAGCACGCCACTGCAGCATCGAGTTAACCGAGTTACAACCGCTTCTACTATTTGTTTTTAGTTCACTTTATGTTTAGTAGGTAAATTTCTGTGTGCTCGTAACGAATTTGAATTTTACATTAAATCAACATCAACAAAACTGAGCAAATTTCACATTTTTTACTTTGTATCTTGCAATAAAAACGAAATTCTATTCATAATAATAACAATTAAGAAATTATAAGAGAAAATCTATTTTACCAATGGGGTGAGATCGGCATAAGAGGGATTTTAAGTCTTCAAGATGGTAATTAAATATTTAAGCTCACTAACTTCAACTGGTGCTGTTAAACTTTAACAAATTGGTATATCTGAGCATTAAAACGAATCTTTTCTACTTCAATCTTCTTCGCTCAGCTTAAAAATATTTAAAATTGCATTTAATGACAGAATAAGATTAGTTAGATATTGATGTTCAGCCATGAAGAATATTTTGGTTTCTTCAAAAGAAGAATTTTATTATTAGCAATTTTTTAAGACATTTCATAAATGAGGTCTTAAAACAAGTTTTTTAAAAAACTTACTTATTTTTCCATTTTTTAAACATAACAACCCAAGAAATGGTTTCCCAACCCAATAAATTAATTTTGGAACATATATCTTTCATTAAGCTATCACTTTTTATTAACACTTCTGGAGCTATACAAGCTAAGATATTAGATAGCCACAACACCCAATTTGGATTCGGTGTTTAGAACGGCCTTCTCGCCATAAGCTCCACCGTAGTTGCTCTTCTTGAAGACTGAAACATAGAGATAGAAAGTAAAGTAAGTATGGGTGATTTATAGGTCAATAGTTGGTAATATCGATGTAAATGGATGAATGGAATATTGTAATTCGGTATTTTGTATCTGAATATTGGAAACTTAATGCAGTCCCCTTAAGTGATTAAGTAACAACCCACCTGGATCGATTTCGGCCACGAAGGACCGCGGGGGCAGGGCGGCGGCGTAGAGCTTGTCCAGAGGACCGTATGGCTTGGCCAGGAGCACCTTGCCCTGCTCCCATCCGTATCGGTTGAGGGCATACCAGTCGGCGCCGTCCAGTTTGGCGGCGGAGGCGGCGGCACCGGCGGCGTTGGTCAGGGCGGATGCCTGGGCCTCGGCCGTCTCGGCAGCCTTGACCACATCTCCGTAACTGGGACCGTATCCGGATCCACCGTAGTGTGGACGATTGGCCACGGTCAGGGCAATGCAGCAGGCCATCAGGCAGAGAAGTCGCAGGGTGGTGGACATTTTGGCAGTGGTGCGAAGAACGGACTGTTTCGAAAACTAATTAACCAGAGCGTGTGTCCAAATTGCTTTTATAGCAACACCATTTGAGCTGCTCCGCGATTTGTGAGCTCACCAGACGTGACCAAACCAGCTCGATGACCAGTCACTTTCGGGGGGTCGCCAGCGCCAGCATCTCCATCCCCCTTCAGCCCCCCCTCCACCGTCACTGTCCCAGGGCGATAAGCCCACGGGATCGTCTCCAATTTCTATGCTCATTGAAATTGCGCGCCAAATTGCGGCACCCCGGGAACCCCGAGAAGCTGCTCCATTGATAGCGACTTCCCCCTGCTCGGCACGCTCTGCTCGCTTCTGGTGTGTGCGGTATCGGGGCTTTGGCCGCACTCCGCCGCGATCCGGCCAGTGCACGCATCGGAAATCGGGCAGGTTGGGGTTAAGCCTAGGCCAGTGATCAATGAACATGAACCGGAACCTGGTTTTCACTTAAGTGGATTAATCATGGTATGCTATAACTTTGGGCTTATATTTTGAAGCCGATTCTGAGATATAATGGACTTTAATCTTTCTTTCTTATATATATATATATATATCTGTATATCAATCAAGTACAATTTAAAACACCCACCTTAAAAAGCTTTCTTTCTGTTTTAAAATCTGTAAAACTTTATATCGATTTTTGTTTCTTTCGTAGCACATTTTAAAATCCTTCGCAATTTGAGGTAGGCTCTGAGTTTATAAGCAAATAGAAAACTGTTGAGAAAATCTTATACAACAAATATACCCTAAAAATATTTTAAAATTTACGTAATAGAAATAAAAATAAAAAAACTTGCGCAAAATAGTTTGTTCGTTCTGAACATAAAAACAGAATTATTTAATAGCATTTATGAAAGTAAAGTTTGGTTCTCAAATAACATTTTTAGTTCTCTAAATTTTCATTAACAAGCTAATGTTAATGTAACAAATGGAATCATTCTTCCACTACAAAATTATTAAAATTAAATAGTTCAATTGAGATATGTCGTGCATTAGTTATTGAATTAGTTGTTGATATTTTGCCCTTTTTTCTATTTCTAGTGAAAGTATAACAATTATTATTATAAAATGATCTTGAATATGCCGCTACAAACAGTATTGTATTTAACGAAAACTTTTCCCATGAAATGTGCCGCATTCGAAGCCAGAATTCTTGCCGTGATTCACTGCTCGACTCGAATGTCAAGCGAGCTGGCCAACAGCATTGAAGCTCTTGGCCAAGAGTTCGGGCCAAACAAGTCAGCAGATGTGTTTGCTTACCAGCCAGAAAATACGCGCGACAATCGGCGAATTCAACTGCGGCGCTTTCTAGCCTCAAGATTATTGACTGACTGACACAATAAATAATTGAATGTTTATGGTGGTTGCACTGCGGTGAGTGATTTGCGAGTGAACCGGAGCATGCAAATCCGGAGCACGTTTCCGCCAAGCCACTCAAACACATTCCCGGTGGGGGCTGCAATCAAATGAATATTTCTCCACCACCGCTGAACAGCTGCAGCAGCTGTAAGACCCCAAAATTTGTTTCACCCATAGATATTTGGTCACCCAAAAGCCACGAAAAGTGTTTGCAAAAATATTATGATTCTTTTGTTGTGGTTTATTTTGTACACCATCAGGCTGAGATCAAGTATTCGCCAGGTTGGCTGGGATCAAGTATGCGCCTAGTAGCCGCTGCTGCGGGATCCTCCATATTGGCTGCCATACTGGTTGCCATACTGGTTCTCGGGGATGTAGAGCTTGGCCACCGGTGCACCGGGACGGATGGGCAGCACCACCTTGCTGTATTCCGGGGGCGAAACGTAGGCGCGGTAGTTGTTCTGTCCGGGATACAGCAGTGTGGCTCCGGCGGGCTGGACGGTCCACCTGGGTCCGTATCCACCACGACGGTAGTTGCCACCGTTGTTGTAGCCACGACGGGACTCGCCGCCATAACCTCCGCTTATCTGGACGGGACGCAGGATCTCGGCACCATAGCCGCCACGCGGTCCTCCGGCAATAATCTCCACGGGGCGCTCATAACGCTGCTGTTGTCCCTCACTTCCGGCGGCAGCTGCCGAACTGGCGGATGAGGCAGCAGAGCCTTCCTGGCCGTAGTTGCGGGGTCCGTAGCTCTGGTAGCCACCGTAGTTGGCATAAGAGCTGCCCACGATGCAGGCGCAGAAGATAACCGCTAGGGTCTGGAAAATCAGGAAAATTCCAAATTAGCCTTTGTTCGGGAAATAAAAAACGAGCCGGGAAAGCGGAAAACTCTTCAGGGACAACTCTATACTTACAGCGAACTTGTTCATGGCTATGATGTCTGGGTTTTGGCACAGTTGGCAGAATTAACATATTAAATGGCAAGCACACTTCTTTATATAAGCAAAATAATTCTTGCACTCGAAACGTGATCTCGCCCAGAAATTTATCACGGCTTAAGAGCTGGCTTCGCCGTCTCTTCTCGGCCAGTTTGTTGGGGAACTTTCTGTGGATTTTTAGCTTTTCCTAGCCAGATATCGGGGCTCCATGCTCCGGTCGCTTTGGTTTGAGCAGGTTGCTCACCGCAGCAGCCCGTATCGCAGACATTCGGCGGTCGACCTTCGGTGGGGGTGGTCGATGCAGATGGCCCGCCTCCGGAGTCCGAAATCAAAGGTCACTTAATGGGGATGGGGTGCGTGAGGGAACGCAGTCGGATTAGGGGGATAAGTGGCAGTCCGTGGTTTAAGCCAACGTGCCACTGTAGAAAGTTGGCTCCATTGATTTTGTATTGGTTTTCGAACTTCACTATTATTCACAGCATATCATATTCAAAGAATACTTTTATGTTACAGATTGTAGATGCACATAATTCAAATTAACAACCTAATTAGCATTTCATAACTAGCACACATTTTAGCTTAATTGGATAGTTCATCAAAACAATATTGATAGTAAAATATCATTATTTTAATCTGGAAGTTGGTGCAACATAATATGAAAGTACATCAAGTCTTTATTTAAGTGATTAACAAAAATTAAGTTTAATTGAAATAAGTTACGAATTCTTAGATGAGGTTAAGGTGGTTTAGTTATTGATGGCTGTTTTTTATTTAGTATTTAAACCTCATTTAAATTATTAAGAGTAAACGTTATGAGTCCCTTAAGTTTTCTTAATCAAATTACACGATAAACAGAACGAAAGCTGATGTTACTGGTGACTGAATATTTCTAGAACGCTACTGCTAAATTCATGTGTGGTATAAATAATTATTCAGAATACAGAATTAGCAAGGAATACAATTTCCAATAAAAATCTTGTCTGACAGTTTCAGGGCTTGAAAGCTCAGCTTGTGCCTGGAATAATACTCCACCCCAAAGTATGCCACATTCTTTAGCCCACCAACTGCCCCCGCAAATTGCAAAACTCAATATGGATTTCGGTTCAATATTTTCCATTGCGATCAAGGTGTTTTTATTCGCAGATTCTCAGAGTTTCGCTGTGACAGCCACTCGAGGATTTGAACAAGTAGTCGATAGTTCGATTCGCTGCCGGCGGAGCGGGAATTAGTATCCACCACTTCCGCGTCCGAGCTCGTAGCCGCGTCCACCATCGATGTTCCAGCTGGGGATGACGTAGTCGCGGTAGCTTCCAGGATTCACGGCAGCAGCGGAAGCGGCGGCGGCGGCACTAGCGCTTCCACCATTTCCCTCCGAGCGGATGGGTCGGGGACCATATCCGTACGAGGGCCTCTCCTCGTAGACGACGCGCTCGATGGCACCATAGCCACCTCCATAGCCACCGCCGTAGTTACCACCATAGCCACCACCATGTCCTCCACGGTTGCCGTACACTGGACTGGCGTTGATGTAGGCGAACAGAGCGAGGGTAACACAGACGATCTGCGGGAAGGAAAGAGGAAATCCAGAGGATTAGCTGGCTGCCACTTCCTTTTCACGGTTCCCAAAACTTACCAGGTACTTCATGGTGAGTGCTTAGTTTTTGTTGGTTTGGGGTAATCAATCAAACTATGATTTACCGACCAGAAACGCTCGCTTTTATACACGAAAATTAGCCTGGATATTTACGTGACCTATATACACACATTGCTCTGTTTCAGTCCAGAAACCGCATTTCATAATTCCCCGGCTGGAATATACTCACATTTGATTTATGTATTTCCATATACTCGTTGTCGGGTCATTATAAAATCGCTTGGTTACGCGATGTGCCATTGCACCGGTCCCGGGTTTGAGTTTGGGTTTAGATAGTTCCACAAAACAACACTCACATGCGACTCTCTCAAGTGGGACCCACGAACGCGGCTATTTGAAATATACTCCAAAATTTGCTGTAATGAACTTTCCGTTTTTCACATTCTTGGGGGTAATGGTTTACGGATCGGTTGTGTCCGGAAAGCGGCTAACGCCAGGCCGAATTCTCCTATAACTGGTTAAATCCGGGTTTCCCCAGGAAATATTTGACTAACTACTTAAGAAATTTATAATACCCTTTTAATTTGAAAAAATTCCATTTAGACGGGTAAATCTTCTTTAGTCAAAACTAATGCTCAGCATATATATGTTTTCATTTATTGTGAGTCACAATTTGTGACTAAACAATATATATATTTGGGTGTTTATTTTTTTAAATCCAAACCAGTAGCATTAAATGTATTAGTTTATAAATCAGAAACATATTTTAAATAGCTTAACTGAAGTATAAATTTGAACATAAAACTTTGTAACTTTTCCACTTCAATCATCTTTCACACATTTCTTTTGGTAGAACCACAGACAGCTTTTTCATTTAACTTTCTGACCAAGAAATTTTTGCTGGCTCAATGGTCTCATATGACATAGCAAAAAGCCGAAGTCTGTGCCAATTCAGCTAAGATATACAGAGCAGAGCTCTTGACCAGAAATTCAACGCCCCAGCAAAAAGAACACACACTCAAAATATAAGTCTTGAAGTTTGGCATTTATTTTAATGGCCTAGTTCCTAATTCGTAGTTTGTTTCTAATTCACTGTTCATCGTTTAGTAGCTGGGCCTCTTGTATCCCTTCTTGCCGGCGGCCACGGAACTGGCGGCAGCTGCTGCCGAACCTCCCTTCACCTTCTCGGCGCGTCCGTACTCCTGGGGTCCGTAGCTGATGGGTGGATAGACGGGCTCCACGTAGCGGGGAGCCTCCTTCCACAGCACTGGACCTCCGGCACTGGGGGCAGCCAGGGCGAGCTTGGCCAGGGCAATGGCCTGACGGTCTACTGGCGGAGCACCACCGTAGCCGGAGCCGGAGTAGCCGGATCCCGCATTGGCACCGCTGTAGGCCGAAGCCAGGGGAGCAGCCTCGTAGCCACCGCCATATCCGCGCTCCTCTCCTCCGTATCCACCCTGCTGTCCGCCGTATCCACCGCCGTACGCGGGAACGATGGCCTTAACGGTCAAAGCGGGCTGCACCTGGTAGGCATAGGCACCCACTGGGGCACCACCGTATCCACCACGGGCACTTCCATAGGAGTTGGCCGAAACAGCGGCAATGGCGCAGAGGCAGATGCACTAAAGGAATCAAGAAAAATACCAATTAGATTGGGGACTTAATTAAGTTTAAGATGTTTCAATCAAGAACTAGGAAATAGAAAGTCGAAATAAGATTTATTTCACTTCAGTTATATCCTCTCATTTATAATTTATTACTTTAGAATTTAAGGAACTCGAAAATAGAAAAGAAGACTTACCATGAACTTCATCATTCTGAGACTGAGTTGGTTAGTTGATCGGTGCGAAGGTAACTAATGTTTCAATATGTCGCACTGTTTTGTTTTATACCAGATCCAGGCAGACGCCAAACTCTTACGTGACGAATATGATGCAAGTTCTTGGCTCTCGTGGCTCCCGGAGACGCAGCTCCAGGTTGCGGGGCGCTTTGTCCGGCAATCTTGAGACGCCGCCGGAGACGTGCAGCCAGGCCAAATCCACTCTGGCCAAAAAGCTGGCTCTCAATTCGGTCCGGTCCAGATAGCAGGCGTCACTGGGCTTACGCCATCGTCTGCCGGAGACGAGACCCCATTACGTAAGATTCCGACAGCATGACTCTTCGTGCTGCGGATCCACATTGCTACCACCACTTTTAAGGCCAATTTGCCCCACGGTGCCGAGCGCTTGACACCGATTTTTCAGTGACACACTGCAGCCAAGGCAGTGGCCTGAACTTTCTGCTGCGTTGGTAGAATTTATATACAAAAGCAAAAAAAATTGAGATAAAATTACAATAAAATTATAAACACTTAACCGTTCGACTTTTCAAACTGCCGCGCTAAGCTTTTTATAATATTCAAGTGGCGCTACACCAATTGTGAATGGCTTATGGGCGGGGGCAAACGTTTAATAATGAATAATGAATTATTTAAATGTGGGCCAGGCTCAGGGCAGCAGCAGCCAGAAGACGGATGAAAACGATCTTTCTCCGGATTCATTTTCTCTTTAAGATTGCTTTATTGGTCTTTAAACTAGTTGCTTTGCTCTTAGGAATTAAGTAAACATATTATTATAAGAATGGGAACTGGGAACTGGGATTAGCAAACGACACGATAAATATTAAATAGTAACAGCATTCGCTTTGTAATGCAAGTGAAAATGGTCTGAAACCTCAAGCTAAGATTGACGGACCAGAGCATCCATCACAAGTCCGATATAGCCAGCTTGTTGAACAAGATATTTAACTGAGGCTAATCTAGATAAACGACACGTTTGGGCCAGGGCCCTCAGACTTTATAAGAGCAGAGCAGCCGATGACTAGCTCAGAAAACCTGGTCCAAACGCTTACAAAATGAGAAGTCTGCGCTGCAAGGTGAGATGTGCTGATTGTGGGTTCATCATCGATGATGACACTTATGGTTAATTCAATCTGCAGATCCTACAGTTGGCTGTGTTGCTGGTGCTGGCTGCTCTGCAGATGGGAGCTGATCACTTGGATAGCGATGAATGCGGCTGCGGGCGACGGGGTTAAGATGGGACATCAATAAACAAGCGACGAGCAATGCATACAATTCGAACGGTTGTAGTGGGTTCGGGGGCTAAACCCATCAGAAGACACGTACGGCTAGTCGCGGGCCAGTTGGGTATCGCACATGGCCCGCAGCCGGGCGAGCAGCATGTGCAAATGCTTTAAGCAAGCTGTCGACGATTGCTGGGCCCCTAGGCCATGTTTCCCAGTCAAGGTTTCCATATACATGCGCTTGTACAGCTTGGACAGCTGTTTGGGATCCTTGCCGGTGAGCGTGAGCTTCGTAAGCGTCTTCAGAGCGTTCTGCAGGCGGCTCTCAAAGAGCGTCAAATGGCCGGCGAACTCGTCGTCGGCCACTTGGCCACTGTTAGTATCGATGACGTGGTTGAATACGAGGTGGCACTGTAAACAAATGTCCAAAGCCGCTTGCATTTGTTTGATCTTCTGAGCGTTGTGGGTGGAAACTGTCGGTTAATTGGGGGAAAATTAACATTAGTATGATTGGTTTCGGATATTCTTTTTATACTTACGTTCGGCCAAAAATTCATGGAGGGAAATCCGCTCCAGCTGCACTACCAACAGGTCACCCACCTCCTTAAGACCCTCCAGTATCTGCGTGGCCTTTTCATAGTGGTATTTGCAAAGTTGTAGAGTAGATTTGGGTAGCTGAGAGAAATCACAACAACCATGAACACGCAGCTGTGAGTAGTGGAAAGAGGCAATCCTGGAAAAGTCGAACATAGTCTTAGTATAAATGTATTGTTTAATTTCTATAGCTACCTACCTTTTGTGTATTAGCCCCGATCGAAAGCTGTAAAGAACTTGACGGGCCCCAGCGTGCTCCACATCGCATAGTCGCAAAGATTTCTGCAGCAATTCCAGCATCTCTTTTGAGGCATCAATCAGGCTTGATTTGTCCGCTACACTATAGTCTTGTAGTTGTTTCGCTAACGTAAAAGTGGCAGTGGATAATTCCCAATGGACCAGGTCCCATAGCTCGGCGTTCGCTTTACGAGTATCCAAACAGTCTTTGGCCTTCTCGTAGTAGTTGAATGCCTCGCTGTAAAAGGCTTTTTGGCTGTCTAAGGTAATGGCGCTAAAATAAAAAGATATTAAATGAGTATAAATAATAGCCGGAATATACGGTTTACCTCTCATTGGGCATTGTAAGATGGGCGCGCAAGCGCATAAACCGACCCATATTACAATAGAGAAAGGACAGATTGACATTATCCTCCACGGCAGTGAAAGCTTCGATGCCTCGACGCAGGCAATCATAAGAATTGACAGTCAGCTTGACATACAGCGGCTCGGCAGGATCTGGACTTGGGTTGTCCTCCGAATCGACATCTCCAGTAGATTTAAGCGACTCTTTCTTCTTCATCAGCTCACTGTATTCCTCTGAAATTTCACAATTGTGATTAGTTTAGTAAAAAGTTTTTATATTTTTATTAATTTACTTACCTTGAGCCCAATACATGTACTTAAGACCTAGCTCGTTTCGCACGTTTCCTAGTCGCCTGAGCAATTCATTGCTCTCCGTTTTCTGAGCATGCTCCAATGCTTGTTCATAGCACTTGCAGCTATGTAGCATGACATGCTCCACATTATTAGCCGGTGCCAGGGAGGGTAAAACCTCCTCCTCTCCTTCCAGTTCCTGTGCCAACTCGTCGCCAATTACGCCCATTGATGCATCCTGTTCTTCGTACTGCTGCACATACTCCTCGATGGCCGCCCAGTGTTTAGACATTTGGAAGAAGCAATCACCTGCCCGGCCCAGTAAGCAACTATACTGGGAAACTACATTGGCCATGTACTTGTTGAGTACCTGTTGGCAGCGGCAAGCAAGCTCAATAGAGCGCAACGTGGATCCGTAGCTACGGGACTCATAATAGTGCTCCGCTAGGGTTGCAAATGTCAAACAGGCCTTTTCCAGGAGCAGGAGCTTTAGATGGACGTTCCAGGACCCAAAGTGCTGAGCGTTGAACTTGGCACTCATCTGCTTATTGCTGGAACTGACGTTTTTGGACTTGCCAGTGGTGGCTAATTCCTTAGACTTACTCCGTTTGACCTTGGAGCTTGGCTTCTTCACAACCTGCGCCGGCTGCTGGATCAGTTTAAGCTGTTCATAGGGTAAGGGAATGGCACTGAAAGGCTTGGCCATGTTGGGATTCTGTTCCTCGTGCAGAATGCGTCGCTTCTCCTCCTGCTTAGCGTTCGTCTCCGACTCCTTGAGCTTCTCCTCCTGACTGCCGTTAAAGTACTGCAGGCAGGAGAGTCCAGCACTGATGTGCTCCAGGGAGATGGTACAACGCTCGGCAGTTGTGGCCAAAAGAGGAGCCGGCTTAGCCTTCTTGGCATGTGACTTAAAGTCTCTGAGGGCATCGCAAATATGCCGTACAGCCACGTTGGCCCTGCCACCACCCTGCTCGCTGCTTTGGTAGCTCTTCTCGCTTGGGTAGTTGCAGTCCAGGAGCTCATCTTCGTAGTCCTCTTCGTCTTCCTCTTCATCATCATCGTAGAGCGATTGATCGTCGGAGTCCACCTCCTCGAACTTGGGCGCCTTGGGATCAATGCCCGCTGGCACATGCAGATCCGAGAGTATGTAGTGCGAGGAACTGACGATCTGCGGGTACTGCTCCTTGGGTAGCAGCTTAATACAGTTGTCCAACAGAGCACGAATGCTGCCTGCTGCCTTGGGACTAATGTGCGGCAGTGTGTTCTTCATGTTACGAGCCACCGAATACAGCAGCATGCCCACCGGCACGGTAAAGGGATTCATCTGCTGCTGGGGCGGATCACCCTCCGGCTTCTCAGCCTCCTGGCTCTGGCATAAAGTGGTAAGATCGTACAGCTTAACCACGTCATCGTTGCGTCCTTTGAACAACCAGTAGGTGTGTCCCGCCTTTGTGGCATTGGCCTTAAGAAAGGCCAGAATGTTCTGGGCCACGTTGCGCACCACTTGAGGAGAAAACTGCGAGTTTTCCAGATAGGGCAGGTCCTCAGTCTTGATAATCTCGTACTTCTGCACAATGCCGTCCAAATGATAACACATCACGACCTCGGGCACATTGCACATTAGATTGTCCAACCAATAATCGATTCCAGTAAGCACGTTTATGGGCTGGGCGGCGTCCCTCAAACGCAGGCTGATACACGGCCTGTTTGGTCCTCCAAAAATGGGCATATCAGTGCCGATAAGCATGCGTATGTCCTCAAAGGTCCAGACCACGTTTCTATTGAAAGCATGGCTGGACTTCGGATCCGGCACATTCTCCTCTATCTTGGGTTCTGGGAGAACGGGTCCCGTAATGGGCAATCCTTGCCGTCTGCTGGTCAACTGAGTGGGAGTGGTGGCCACATCGTAGTCCGCTTCGTCGCCAGTCTGTTTTAGACTGTGATAAAGGAACTTAGACAGCAGGTTCTTGGTTTGCAAAACCTCGCGGGATCGCTCCTTCAGACAGTAATTCTGCTGTGTGTCACCGTAGGTCAGGATGTGCTCCAGAATGAACGTGCGCAGCCACTTCCAGTCGTCGTCCGCCTTCCGCAGCAGATACTTCTGTATATCGAACTCATCCAGGAGCAGCGTGTTGCCCACCTTGTGGACCACCATGCTGATGGCGCTCTGGGCGCTATACGGTAGCTTGAGCAGCTGTTTGATGTTCTCCGCATCGCTGACCACATCCACCTCACCCACGCAGTCGGGAAACATCTGCCCCAGCCGGAAACTGGCGAATCCGGCGCTTTGGTACAGGGCCTGGTGCAATCCGTGGCTGCTGTGCGATGTGGTCAGCCAGTTGAGGGGAGGCAGATTTAAGTTCGTATTGCATTCCAGCCGCTTGAAGTGGGCGGGCAGCTGGACGGGTGACAACTTAATCACCGCCTGGCTCTTCACCACGTCCAATTCGTGGGGCCCAATGCTCCTGCACGGTTCGATCTGTCGGAAATATCAGGTGGTATTTATATTATCTCTGTAGGACACATGCTCACCTCTTCGTTCCTATCTTCCATGGTCGTGGTGGCTCATCGATTCCTCGCTAAATTCCAATCCCGTGGAATATTCAAGAAACTTCGAGCAGATGTGTTTTTGTTTTGCCGGCACAGCTGTCAGCTGTCGGAGTTACCCAACACTACCAACTTGTTTGCAGTATAAAGGCATGGCCGTAACTAAATTTTTACGCTATAAATATTTTCAGAGAGACAAAACTTAAAATACAACCAGGTATTTTTAATAGATACCCTTTTGTACCAAAAACTTACTTTAATTTGCTTATGGTGTTGATATTCATTTAAACTACGTCGGCTTGGGCCCCTCTCTTTCTACGCCCCTGACGAAAGCTAACCAGCTGACTTTCCCTGTGCCGTTTTCCAGCACTACCACAATATTTTGTTATTCCTACGCAATTTACACAGACTGGTCGCATAATTCCCCTAATTGGAATTAAAACTGACATAAAACCATGACGTTGTTTGCCCTAATCGCGCTGCTCAGCCTGCTGAACACAATCCTGCCAGACTTTATAAGGAACTACGTGGGTACCACCTGTAGGAGCAAAACCCGGTGCTAAACTTTACCCTTCACTCCACAGCTCAAAGTGTCTCGTTTGTGGGGCGCCAGGAACTCATCGGAAATCCGGCACCTGCAGAAAGAGGTGGAGTCCGCCCGGGAACAAGTGGAAGAAGTGCGCAATGCGGAGCATTCAGGGGAATACGCCAGGACCATCAAAATTATGCGCGCTGAGCGAAAAGTGACGGATGCGGAGGCCAAACTTAAGTCCGCCCGGGGAGTGGAGAACCTGATGCGGATGGGCATCGATACGGCCGTGTTCTACGGCTCCAAGGTGCTGCTGTCGCTGATCACGGTCATCGTCAGCATCCGGAATCGCGGTACACCAGTAATGATCATCGACGAGGGCATCAGCTTGGCCCCGTTCACCGGTCTGCTCAGTTTTCCCACTGGCGTGGCCAATGCGATTTCCGTGCCCGCCTGGGCCTTCTCGTGCAACCTGACTTTCCGCCTCATTTACGGCCTGGTTAAAAACCGCAGGGCGTGATTTAATCCGAATGAAAACCCTCCATTTAGTTTAGATGTTAGAGAGCGCTCGACACTACTTACTTTGTTATGGTTTGCTAAGCTTCATCACGCATTAATCCTATAATGTAAAGGCCCAATTTTTTGTAAACAATGTAAACACATAAAATACATGTATTTTCACATAGGGAAGTATTTGAATAACGCGCCTCGGCATTTGAGAGATTTCCAGCACTACTCGCTAACAAAGTGTTGCAAAGTGCTGGCCTTACATGAGTGCGTGTCATTTTTCCCATCCAATTTGTTTGGTGTTTTTGTTAGCCGAAAATGGACAAACTAAATGAAAATGCACGAGAGCGGAAGCAAATCAAGCTGGGCGAGATCGACACAGGTCCCATTTTGGTGGCCCTTTTGCTGGGCTTCATCGCAGTGGGTGAGTACGCCACGTGGTGGTTTGGTTGCCTCTTGTCCCCAGGAGTCTCATCTAAAATCTCGAATACCTTTTTTAAATACCCCCTTCCTTTAGCCATCTTTGTGATCCTGCGAAGACGCTCTGCTGGTCGTCGGGACTTCCTGCTTGCCGGTCTCAGTGAATCCGGCAAAAGTGCCATCTTCATGCAGCTGCTCCATGGCAAATTCCCTGCTACTTTTACTTCGATCAAGGAGAATGTGGAGGTTTACCAGGCAGGCAGCTCATCCGCCAGATTAGTGGATATACCCGGACATTACAGAGTGCGCGACAAGTGCCTGGAGCTATATAAACATCGGGCAAAGGGCATTGTCTTTGTTGTGGACTCTGTTACGGCCCAGAAGGAGATCCGCGATGTGGCTGAGTGAGTTTTTAATGGTTATATCACCCGGTGCACCAGCTAATCTGCTTGTTTTTTCAGTTTCCTGTACACCATCTTATCGGACAGTGCCACCCAGCCCTGCTCCGTCTTGGTCCTGTGCAACAAGCAGGATCAAACCACCGCCAAAAGCGCCCAGGTCATCAAAGGTCTGCTGGAGAAGGAGCTTCATATAGTGCGCGATACGAGGAGCCGCAAACTTCAATCCGTGGGCGACGACGACAGCAGCAAGTCCATTACTTTGGGCAAACCAGGACGAGATTTCGAGTTCACACATATCGCACAGAACATTCAGTTTGTGGAAGCCTCCGCCAAGGATCAGGAACTGAAACCCCTTACCGACTGGCTGGCTCGCCTCCTGTGAAGTGGCGGCACAAAGCTCTCTGACTGAGAACAAACAGGAATCCTAAACAAACGAAAGCGGAACACAAAAGAACATATTGATATTTATTTTACTGCTTAGCGCCCTTAATATCGTATATATGCCATGCCTATATCGCTGTTAGAGTTTAAATCCGTGCATTGTTATATACCCGTTTTCCCAAGCCTTCCCCCTCCTTGCAATGTTCCCGTCTAATTTTAGGTTATTATGGAAATTTTTTATACTTTTTAGCATTAATTTGTCGGTCGATTTTTGAATAAGAATTATGTATCGAAAGATTTATAAAAAAAATCCGAGTAACAAGTGTGCATTTACAAACGCAGATTCAAATTCTGGGCTTAGTGATGGTTTGAAAATATAAAAACGGGTCCTCAAGGAACTGGTGTTTTAAAAATGTTTAAATAAAAAGGTTTGAAGAAACCCAACGAATTTTCATATGGTTGGTTGTCTCAATCTCACCTATAGTTCCCAAAACATGGGAAAGCGAATTATAAAAAGTCTCACGTTTCTGTTTAAAAATGTAACCGCCAAAATTCAAAGTAACATTTAAATTTGAGATCACATTAAGTGAATCGATATCAGTTATCGAAATTTGGAGATAGTTTCATTTTTAAACACAACATTGAGATGGCGCTTTTATCTACAGATGTTTAAATTCAAGTAAAAAATCATGTAAAATTAACACTAAATTAAAAAAAAACTTCTTCTTGAAACTAGAATCGTACAAATATTAATTGTTGTTTTATTTATAACTCAATAAGTGATGCAATTTCAAGTCTACAAGATTAATATTTAAATGGAAAATAGAATTTAAAAAAGAGGGACATTTATATTTTTGAATATGGTAGGGATAAGATTTGGGATGGTATATATTTTTCAGGAAACATCAATTTCAAAATGTCAGTGATACGGATAGCTCATAGGCAAGGCACTCGATTATAGTTTCCTTTCTTTTTTTTTAATTAGGGTAGATTAATATTTTCTTTCAAAAATATGTTTTAAGAACAGTAACATCAGTGCTCGCCTTTAAATTCAATGTCAACAGCTGAGCTTTATTCAAAGCTAATGGGTTCGAAGACATGAAATTCATGAAAGGGGTTAGCCAGCTGGTTGGACTTGTGTTTGCTTTTAGATTTATAAGAACAAACCCCGTTCTCGACTAGCAGTTGGCATCCAGTTCCAGGCAAAGCCAATGTTTTTGGCCAACTGTCCCAGAAAGAAGATTATCATTAGACCACTGAGCAAACGTTTGGCGCATGCGCAGCTCTCAAACCTTTTTCGCGATTTGAGACCTTTGACGAACCAGCTGAAACAGCTGTCGATGAGCTTGGGCAGTCGATCAATCCATCGATCCGCTCGCCCGGCCAAAGATCAAAAAGCCGCCTCGAAAATCAATGAGCTCGCCTGCCCTCGGCTCCTCTGACTAGATAGAGTTTCTAGGCTGGCTAAATTCTAAGAATCCGCAGCTTTCAAGATTTGCCGAATTTCTTGGGGAAGTTGGCCGGGCGGATGTCCCTGGCCGCGATCCCCATCCTCTGCTGGCAGCTGCCATCGAGGATGGAAGTGGTCAACCGGCCCGCTTCGTTGGTGGCATTCGCAGCGGATTGATGATGGACAAAGCTGCGAATTTCGGGGAAAAGTGCGATTAAAACAAAGGCGGGTCGAGCATTCTCAGTGCCCAATGGGTTTGCCTAATCTGTAGATTGTGACCTGCGTTCTGGCTAAGCACTGGATGGTGTGTATTAACCACTCACCTTTTGTTGTTTTCTAGAAATTACATGTCGACCATAATTATTGTAAAAATTCCAAAAATAATATATGTACATGCAAAGCTCAAGAAAATGTCTTGTAATAAAAGTTTAAAGGTCACTTATATAATTATCAAATAAGTATAATTTAATAATCCTTCTTGATGTTTATACTTTCCTTTAAATTAAGTTATAAATTCATTAAAATAAAAGGGAAATTCGATAAAAAAAACTATGTTAAATTAGAGATTTAAACTTCGATGGCATATTTCATAGACATGGTCAATGGTTTATATTTATGAGTCTGAATTTAGCTTATGTAAAAATCAATTACGGTTTTGAACTCAATTTTATTAGAATAAAAGCTTAAAAATAGTAACACAGATTTTTAACGACCTTATAACTTTAAGCGAAATTTCAGTAGTTTTTTAGCTCCTGTGCCCCCCTTAACTGACTCCTTCACTTCCTGTCCAGACTCCTGGTCCCGAAAATCTGATTCTGATTCGGTGTCATGTGCATTGAAGCACGTGCTACACCCGAAAAAAGAACAGGAGGCGCAAAAAGTGTACGAGAAATGCAAAGTGCAGCCAGAGCCAGACTTCTTACAGCTGCAGACGGGTTGCGAGGGAGTCGAAGGGAACCATATGTTGCAGACACGCTTTAGCCAAGCGGAAGGAGCGCCCCTCCCCGCTCCCCCATCCACCATCCACCATCTCCGATCCTCGATTCAAATTCTGGGGCGTACACAGTAGCTGCAAATTATTCACGACTGATTAGGCAGAAAAACGCAACAGGCAAGTCGAAAAAATACATACGATATCCTCCAAGGGATCCGATTACCAGAATTTCAGAAATCTTTTTTGGGGCCAGAGGTGAAGCAGAATTCACTGGAAGGCAGACAGACATTTTTGAGGTTAGACGGGGGGCCATTGGGGAGGATATTGAATTACGATCGCATACCCGACCGTTAGTTAATCAAAAAAAAAATATATATATATGGATATATAAAGTTGAACTTGGCTGGGCAATAAATCTGCGATTTTTAGAAAGTCTTTATGAGATTTATGGGCGGGCGTGCGACTCCCCCTCTCAAGATCCCCTGATATTTTAATAAGCCCGCTCGCAATTACATCGCGGTGCGAAATCCAGAGGGGGGGTGGGGGCAGAGACCATATAAGGTTGGTCTGCGGCAGATGCAGCAGGCGCCCATTAAATTTTTATGTACACAGGCGCGACGTTTTGTGGGTTTTCACGGGCTGCCCAGAACTGCGCGCCAAGAGAGAGTGTGAAGCGGTCGCTCGCCGAGCACATATGCAATTTATTTTAACACATCGTTAAAGCTCAAAAAATAAATCTTGACGCGCCGGACACTGCAATTATCACCTCTGCATAATCAGCCCTGCCGGACAAACGGACAACTGGACAACCGGACGACGATTCAACGAGGTGAGCACATCGAACAAGGAGAGCAGCGCATGCCCCCGGGTGGGGCAGCTCCTCCGACAGCTGGTTGCAGCCCGGTTAGCTTTCATTTTTTCGGTAACAGGAGCAGCATCGCAGTACTGAGAAAAAACACATGGAAAAATGAGTTAGATATTGAGAATTTATATATTTTATTAAAGTTTAATAATCTCAAGCCCTGATGTAGTACCCTTATTTACGAACTTTTATTTCGAACCAATTACTAGAAGATATTTAACATATTGAATAATAAATAAATATATTGATACCAACCTTAGGAAGATCAATAAAAAGTGGTGCAACTCTTTCTGATGTCAATAAAAAGTAACGCAACTGTTTCTTACGTAAATAAATAACAAAATAGATTATCATAATAAATTTGAAAAAATTTTGTTTTCAATAAATGTTATTACATAAAATATATGGTCTTAGGAAAAAAACTGTATTGGATATTTCTTTGCTCGTTTTTTGGAGCTTAACCCTATTTTGTTCTTTTAGATATTATAAAAAACAGTAATAAGACCATTTTTAATTTTTCTACTATGCTGTCTACGTTACAACTTTAAGTTGTGAAAGTCCCAAAGTATGTTTTCCTAAATAAAGTCCCAAACTCCCCAATCTTGATTGATATTTTCTCCTTGTGTGGTGCATCCGCCCAGCCCACGCGGCCCAACTCTTTGGCAGCAGCATAATGGCAGCCCATTTAGCACCTTGTTGACGCGGCATCTAATTAAATGGTGCGAGACATGAGGACCTGCCCAACGAAACCACAGCCAGCCCATCTTCGTATTCGGGTTTGGGTTCGAGCTGGGTTGTGCCCGTTCCCGTTCCCATTCCCAATCCCTTTTTCCTCTTCAGCTAATATCGAGTGCAATTTCCATGTAATGCCAAATTGTTGCGCCTTGTTGTTTGGGCTATCACGATGCTTCTGATGATGATGATGATGGTGATAATGGCGGGCACTTGATGCTCAAAGACTTGGCTGTCATCACCGGGAATCGGCCCTGGGCAATCGCTTTCAACGACTGCAACACTTTCTCATCACACCTCTGGCAACAGCATTGATGATTATTTTTGATTTCTGTGCATACATTTCTTGATTAATTATAATGCCCACCGATCTGAGGGGGACCCACCAGCGGCAGCTGCGAAATCTGCTTGGCAAATTGGAGCTTTTGCTGTGCCATAAACGTTTTTCTCATGACACGATGCCTGGACTTACAGATAATTATGGGTTTACTCACCCATTCCCCGCATGCTCCAAACTCCCAGCTCCAGCTCCACATTCAGATTCAGTTTCAGCTTGAGGTTCAGGTTTGGATTCAAGTGCGTGCAGCCAGTAGCCGATGGAATCTGTGGGGCAAATTGTTTGCATTGCCCCTGGTACATATCCATTTCGCAAGCCTGGGATCCCAACTTCGCTGCTTCGTGTCAATTGCACATCACGCGCTGTTTCATTAAGTTTATTTTTAAAGGAAATTATTTTTAAACGCAATAATTTGTTGCGCCGGCGTTTGGGGGCTACCAAAATGAACGTGGTTAAAGGAATTTCTGGTCTGCCCCCCATACTTAATCCGCGATGGGGGACTGTCCAGTGCGGTAAATTTAGACATTTCAAGGTTGCTATTAAAAAGAAAGTTCCTGCAGTCGGACATATAATTACTACCTTTGGATGGGAACAAATATTTCTGGGTAGGTAGGTAAGGTAGGTAATTGATTTTTGTTCTATATACCCAGTTATACAAAGGAGTGGTATTTTATTCCCATTTAGAAATATTTAAAGACTTGTTTTTAGTGAGCAATATTCCTTAGATTTTATTTTAGATGTTACTTTTTACCTTTAAATAACAATCAACATTAAAAACGATTAGTGGACATTAATTAAAATTGTATCTAAATAAAAGTTAATCAGTTCAAATATTAAAAAGTTTAATACACACAGTGAACGCATGATTAATTTTTACGATTTTAGATTGTATATATAGGTTATACATATAATTCGATTAAGATTAATGAAAGACTTTAATGACAAGCAAGGTGTAAAGTATATTACTGATAATAACAGGTTGACCTACAAGTTAGCACTTGTAATATTCGATAGTTTATTGTCAGTTATTCTTTTAACTCAACATCATCGAAAGTGGCCGAGAACAGTCTTGCAGTCAAGTGT